ACAAATAAAAAGGAATTTAAAAACTGAATGAATGAATTAACAACGTTGATTATAAAAAGAAATAGTGTGTACACAGTGAGTTTTAAAATGTTGCTCATTACTGAAACCAATCTGCAGCAAACCGGCACTTATCACTACATGGCATTCGACAGAATGGCGAGAGCCCAGCTGTTGCTGGATCGATAACAACGACAACTTATTTAGAGAGAGTCAGAGAACCATTAGACAGAATCAACATATCGCGCATGCGTAAGGCAATACAACAAGCAAAAGACAGACGTTCGCTTCTCCCCTCGATACCGAAAGGCAACAGAGGCCAAGGAACTTAATTCCGAGACACCATTGGCATCGTTGGTTCGGTTCAATTCAATTCGGTTCAGTACGTTTTGTCGGTTTGGGGTAAACCGTTTTGTCGGTTTGGGGTAAACCAGATCATCCTCCTTGGGAAGGGCAAAACCGACGAAACCGACCATGACCTTCAGCAACAAACATGTTTGTTTTCAAGGCAGAGCCTTGGTCCATCAGTTAGGGCAGTTGGTCTGTTTATAGTGTCCTTAGTAAGATCGGGGGTTGCCACGTTTGAAGAAAGACCCATCAGAAAGAAAGATTGGAGACGGCAGCTGAGAAAAGACCGAGAAAGCCTTACCTTCCAGCCTAGTTCAGTCATAACCATCCCCTGCCCCCACTGCAACAGACATTTCCGAGAGAAGATGGGCCTGATCAGCCATCTCCGCACATACCCCACCCCTCCAGTGATGTGAAGTCAGGGTCATCTTCGCCAGCGAAGGACGAGCATCAGTGTGCAACGAAGTCGCCAGAAACGGAACCAAACCAAACCAAACCGATCCCCAAATAGAGAACGCCTATATATAATGTAAAAGCAACCAACACTTACGAGTTTGGGAAGAAGCTTTCACCGGTGCGAAGAGAAAACAGTAGCATTGGTTCATCCCGCACTGCAAGCTGTTGAAGGCCGTCACACATCGGTGGTGTGTGCTCATCTGCAGGTTGATTAATTGAAGGATGGAAGGATGGATAGATGGAGGGATGGATGGATGGATGGAGGGATGGGTGGAGGGATGGATGGATGGATGGATGGATGGATAGAGGGATGGATGGATGGATGGATGGATGGATGGATGGATGGATGGATGGATTTATCGATCAATTGATTTATTGATTGATTGAATAATTGATGGATGGATGGAAGGATGAATGAATGGATGGATTTATTGATCCATTGAATTATTGATGGGTTGATTGATTGATTGATTTAGTAAGTGTTTTTAGGCACCATTAACACAGAATTAGAAATGCATTAGCAGGACGGGAAAATATTAACAATACAATAGTAGTTAATACTTACTGGTGGCATTGTGGTGAAATCAGGCGCTCGTCCAATTAATGAAATCCAAAGGTAAAAGTTTTTTTCCTATTTCATTTTTTGACAAGCGCCTGATTTCACCAACCGGGATGCCTCACAAATGAATACAGAGGGCGGGGGCGGGGGAGAGGGGGGGTGGATAGACAGACAGACAGAGAAAGACACAGAGGACGAGAGATAGAGAACAAAGAGAGGGGAGGAAAGACAAGAGAGAGAAGGAGAGGA